GGGCACCCCAGCTGATCTTGGCAGGCACAGTCCAGCAAGTCTGGAGCTTGAAAAACCAGAGCAGTGATTAACCCTGTCAGAGACGAAATGGCTGGTGTCAGGCTCGTCCCAATTACACCCGTGCTTGACCTGAGAGTCTCCTTCCAAATGCACTTCATTACTGGGAAACCATCATCCAAGGAGGCATATACTTAAACATTTAATAAATCTGTGATCAGAATCCAGGAGCATAATTAAACCTTTGATGACAGTGACAGAGAATGGGGGCAGAACCGAGGTAGGACACAGAGAACAAAGGCAAGAGCCGGGCGGGGAGGATGTTTGTGTCTAAGTCTATGGTCAGGAATTCGGAGCCTCTCCCTTGTCCTTTGGACCATGATTTCACTTGGATCTGGTGACAGCAAATTTATAAGGAACTAAAGACCAATCTCCGTGGCCATTTAAAAAGCTTCCAAGGAGCTAGACCCTTTCAGTATGCTGACAATTGACATTGCCTTCGAACTCACCCAAGAATAATTTGTTTCAGTGCAAGATAGACCTGATAAACAAGACACCATACCTCTAATAATTACTAGAGGAGAAAAGACTTGGGAGACGGGGAATGGGATAATGTGCACCACTGAGGGTGACTCGCAGGATGGCACAGGGAGGGGCAGCAAGATATGATGAGAAAACATGGAACGGGGGGCAAGAGACTTGTTTCTGATTCTGTCTCGGCCTCTAAAATCTCCAGGTGACTTTGAACATCTCTTTCATCTCTTAAAATTCTCAGGTTCCTCACCTTAAAAATCACAGGAATGGCTTTTGTTTCTCGAGCTACAATGTGAAAAAGGGAATCTTGTTAAAATGCAGATTCCAATTTGGTTGATTTGGAGTAAGAGCAGAGATGTTGCGTCTCACAGATGCCTGAGTGAGCCACAGACCATACTTTGAGAAGCAAGGAATTAGATGATCTCCAGATTCCCTTCCAGCTCTAAAATTCAGAATCTCCACTTTCTCACGTAAAATCCTCAGAGTCTTCCCCACCCACCACCCCTCTGGCCTAGGCTGGCCTCTGTTTTCTGAGACTCAGTCGGCCTTCCTTCCCTGTCTAACGGTGCCCTAGTTCCTGCCATCACTTGGGAGTCTCTTCCTCAATCAAATGAAGGAGGATGGAAATTGAACAGCCTGTCCTTCGCCATCTCCTAGGTTTAGAGGCGAACACATAAGCCCTTCTCCCTTTGAGTTTACTGCTCATCACTTGGAAAACAATAAGGGGAGGTTACAAAAGCTTCAGCAAACTTGTTACTATTCTAGACATTTCCTCCCAGTGCTTCTTCATAGAGACACATGTATTATCAAAATGAGAATTACGGTGAATATATAGGTTTGTGCTCACTACAAAAGTGTATTTCTCATTGAATAAAAAAATTCTTTGAAACTGTGATTTAAATGACTTCATAATACTCCACTGTAAGAATGTCCATGATTTTTTCCATTATTTATATAGCAATTGCTGGACGTTTAAGTTGTCACAGGTGTAAATAATCCTTATGGTTTTGATGGCTACCATTTGTGAAGCACTTTCTATATGCCAGACACTTGCTAAATGCTTTACATACATCGTCTCATTTAATCCTCACAATCACCTTTCAAGCTGAATAGTACATGATTTCCATTCTATTGAGAAGGACACTGAGACAGGAAAGTCCAACGACCCATTCAGGCTCACATGGCTGGTCAGCGGTAGAGGCGGGGCCACATCTGGGTTTGTCTGGCCCCAAAGCCAAGCTCACAACCACTGCATGAAAACGCCTCCTTGTATGTAAATCCCTAGGTGTCTTTCTGATTGTTTCATTGGGATAATTTTTTGTGTGTGTGTATAAAAATTTTTATTTCATGATAAAAGTCATATAGGTTATTGAGACAATTCAGTCAATACATGAAAGTTAAAAAAATCTATAATCTCTTTTCCCGCCCTCCTATGATTTCTTGAGGTGTATTTCCTTTCTGTGTGTTTTCTTTGTGAAAATAGAAAGGCAGAAATCTTGCATTTTTCACCATTATATATCTCCAGTGCCTAAATGCAGAGCCACTTGTTTTTCCTTAATAAATCTCAAGCAACTTTCCAGGGGAAAACATATAGATGTAATTATTTTTAAAATAGTCATATCAGTTCCATAATATGTATATACCATAATCTGTAAGTCATTCCCCATAAATGAACATGCATGATTATAGACTGGGGGAGTTCCTGTTGACACTGGGCCCGCCCACAAACCACCAGGAAGTCAAAGTGGCCGCATTCCCACATGTGTACCACCTGATCAGACTTTCACATTTTTACCAACCTGGTGGGTAAAAAACCTCTTGATGTTTTGATTTTCATTTTCTTCATTACTCATGAGGTTGAATGCCTTTTTAAATTCCTTCCTTTTTTTTTTTCCTGTAAACTGCAGGAAACTTGCTGTAAGTAAAATTGCTGGATTAAAGGATGCACACATTTTAAAGGTGCATGACACTTAGCCAAATTGCCTTCCCTAAGTGAGTGATGGAACAACTTACCCTCCCACAGGCAGCACATGAAGCCTCCTGTTTCACCAAACTGAGTACTGTGATTCTAAAAAGAAAATAAATGTGTCTGCCAAACTGAGAGCCTCCGTTGATGTCTTTGGGTATTTCTCAGCTTTCGATCAGAAAGCCAGGTGGCCTTTTTTTCCCCTTCAGAAAGCTCCTGGGGAGGTGATCCATCTGCCTGGGGAGAGCAGGGTAGAGGGCAGGGCCTCTGGCACAAAGGACTTGAAAGGACAGCCAAGGGCTGTACTGGGAGGTTAAAGGTATCTCCAAGAACATAGTGGAACAGGAGAATGAGCTCTAGTTTGTGTCCAGAAGAACTTAGAGACCGAGTCCAGAGGGTGAGGGAAAGTTGATACTGGTGCTTGCTGCAGTCACGGCCAGGGCGCTGTGGGGATTCAGGGCTGGAGGGATGGATGTCCCTCTATGGAATGAGCTTGATCCCTCCCATCGTGTTCCAGGAAGAGGTGACCACAGATGCGCACAAGCCAATTGAATGGAATTTAATTTAAAGGAAGAAATACTGTTTAACATCTGCTGTGAGCAAAGCCCTGACCTTAGGGTACAGACTTCTGCTCTAAAATGGAGGACACAGAGGTGCTGTTCACAAGAAATCCTAAAGCAGAATAAGGTGTGAGCTGTTTGAGAGGCAGGTCAAGCTATGGTAAGTCGAAATAGAGGTTACACCCAGGTAGCAACATCAGGGAAGGCTTTCTGGACAGAGGTCAGGAGTTTAGAGGGGCGCCTCAGTCCTAAAGAAGGTGTTATCTTCACCCACACATCTCCCCATGCAAAGCCCCAGGCAGCAATTTAGAAGCCCCCACCCACCCACCCATGGCCCTCATAGAGCTGAAGGATCCACCTGCTACCCTCACAGATCCGTGCATCACCCTCACATCAGTCCTACGTCTATAGGCTGGTCAGAGTCAGGTAGAGGATTTGGACCATCTATCTTCTCCAAACTGCAGTTCAGGGGCTCAGTTCAAATTAAGAGCATCTCGTGTCCCCGGCAAGATCAAGCTGGGATCCAGTGTGACTGTTTAAGCTGGGACCCAGTGTGACTTCTCTGGATTGAGATATGCCTGGGGCTTTGTTCGTTGCTGAAGAAAGAGGAGAGGGATTTCATGAGGGAGAGGATGAGAGAAAGAGAAAAGGAGTGATTGGTTGTGACAGGGTTTCTGTTCTTTTGGATCTCTGGGTCCTGAGGGAGTGGCTGTAAGTCTGAAGGAGGAGGCATTCCAGACTAAAGGTGAGCGATCTGCCTTCTGAGAGGTTGTGGGTCTCTGGACTAAGGCAGGAGGGTTCCAAGGGAAGTGAGTACCTCAGGGCTGAGAAGTCAGCTCTCCTCCCAGGCCCCCACGCTCCCTGAGTCATTAACCTGAGGGCAGCTTTGCTGCCTGACAGCCCAGGGCCGTGAGCACCAAAGGAGGGTATTTCTGAGAAAGTGTGTCCTCCCGAAAGGTATCAGAGACGGCAGCTGGACCACACCCCTGAGAACTCGGGAATGAGGGGAAGACTGGAGGAGGGAGGAGGTGGGGAGCCTGCAGGCTGCATCCAGGGCTACAAGCCATCAGGATTTGGGCATTAGTGTCAACACAAACTCACTTGTACCTTCCCTTTCCCGAAGCCTGGGAACAATTTAGCTGCCCAAGGAATGGTGTATGATGTTCTCCTAAAGTAAGTTGAAGTTAACAAGGGCCCAATGCTAGTGCAGAAAAGGAACTCAAAACTTCTCCTAAATATATAGTAACATGTCGTCAGCATATAGTGACACTTTTACCTCTTCTTTTCCAATTTGGATCCCTTTTATTTCTCTCTCTTGCCTGATTGCTGTGGCTAGGACTTCCAGGACTATGTTGAATAGGAGTGGTGATAGTGGGCATCCTTGTCTTGCCCCAGATTTCAGTGGGAAGCTTTTGAGTTTTTCACTGTTGAGTACTATGCTGGCTGTAGGTTTGTCATATATAGCTTTTATTATGTTGAGGTACGTTCCTTCTATACCCACTTTGGTGAGAGTTTTTATCATAAATGAGTGTTGAATTTTATCAAATGCTTTTTCTGCATCGATTGAGATGATCATGTGGTTTTTGTTCTTTCTCTTGTTGATGTGATGTATTACATTGATTTGCGTATGTTGAACCACCCTTGTGTCCCTGGCATGAACCCCACTTGGTCATGATGTATAATCTTTTTTATGTGCTGTTGGATTCTATTTGCTAATATTTTGGTGAGGATTTTTGCATCTATGTTCATCAATGATATTGGCCTATAATTCTCTTTTTTGGTAGTGTCTGTGCCTGGTTTTGGTATCAGGGTGATGGTGGCTTCATAGAATGAGTTTGGGAGTATTCCCTCCTTTTCAATCTTCTGGAAGATTTTGAGAAGGATTGGTATGAGTTCTTCGTATGTTTGGTAGACTTCCCCAGTGAAGCTGTCTGGTCCTGGACCTTTATTTGTAGGGAGGGTTTTTATTGCTAATTTGATTTCATTTCTAGCGATCAGTTTGTTCAAGTGGTCAGTTTCTTCTTGGTTCAGTCTTGGTGGACTGAACGTTTCCAGGTAATAAAGACACTCAGCCACTTTGGATGAAACCTCTCAGCCCAAGCTCAAATTGCATGTTAGGATCCCACATCCTATCCTCCTGTGCCATTCACTAGGGTCTGTGAAAACCCCACACTTAGAAATGGATTCTTTGGTAAGAACTTTAGGGGAAGCTAGCATTGCTTTAATTGAATGAAAGAAAGTCCCATTACACAGTGTTTCTTATCAATTATATTTTGGACCTGGAATGTGGCAGATGTCTAATATTTATTCATTTGGTTTGATTTAATGTGATAATCTAGGGCATATTTAATTTCAAAAAATTATATTAAGCCTGGTTTGCATTTGCTATACCCATGAAGACAAGAGACATTATTCTCCCTAAATGCTTTCTACCTCTCCAGCCTTCAAACCATGAAGGGACCCTCTTGCCTGTTTACCTACATGAGGCCCCCTTGAGTCTCCCATAAAGGCTTGTACAGACGTGTCAGGAAGGAGAGGGAAAAGGCAGGAGACATCCCTTGGTGCCCGACCTCATTTTCGTAAGCGCCCCTACTCCCTTCTCCTTTTCCTCTTCCACTATACTCCCTCTGAACCAGAAAACTACAAAATGGAAACCCTTTACTTCCCCAGGGTTTTTTTCCAAATTTCTCACTTGGTAAAGGCCATATTTTTTTTTTTGTATGACTTCCCATCTGCAAAGACAAACTCAATCCAAGATGAATTAACACAGGCTGTTCATTCATAAACTTGCAGCAAGGGAACCCATCTGCCATCACTTTCATTTCGGCAGGAGTTCAAAGGTGTTAGAAAAGAGAGTAAGTTTTGTAGAAGAAAAAGAATTACAGGGATAAGGTTCTGATTGCCAGGTTTTCCGCTAAGGTGGGATCTGAAAGGGAGGGAGATTTCTTAACTGGCCTTCAGTTGTCCTTGGTCAGCTGCAAAGGGGCAAGAGGACAGTTTGGAGACATTTCAAAAAAGGAATGGTGGTTCAGTGTTGGCACAAAGGGTGCACTGGAAAAATGGCCAGTGTCTTCAGCCGGCCATTTCCTGGAACACGTTGAGGCTGATGGGTGCTCTTTTATGGTCCTTATGAGAGGCTGACCACCATGACCGGAAGTTACTCACATCAACAGCCCGTAATGGTAAAATGCTTTTAAAAAAATCTTTTGTTGGAAGACAATTAACTGACACCTTGATTCTAACTGATGCCAGTAATAATAAGTGGATGATGTGTTCATTACAAAAAGTTTATACTTCCTTTTAAATGTCCCACCCTACTTGGCTACGTCAAGTCCCTGGGTGGCCTGGAGCAGGCAAACGTATCTTGTGACAGTCCTCCCTGCTTGTCATCTGCAGCTCGGGCTCTGGAATGTGGCCCCCTCACCTCCTATGCATCTATCTGCTCTCCTCCTGCTCCTGGAGACTGGCTTCTCTCTGGCCTCAGTTATTTTCCCCTGAAGCCCTGCCTCCTTCGTTAGGCTCGTTCCTACGGAGGGATAGTGGAGAACAGACTGCAAGTCTTTTTTAAAGCTCTGCTTAAAGCCAGGGATGGCAGGAAAAAAAAAGACAAAACAGACTATTGTTTGGAGTCGTAGGACCAGGAGGCCCTGATGGGGCTCTTTCTGACTCCCTCCCAGATGACCGCTGTCTGGGAGGGGTCATTTTCTTCTCTCCAGGGAGGATGCCCTACAGCATGTCTCCTGAGGAAAAGCCCAAGGCCAACCAGGATAGGCCTCCCACCTCCACAGAGGAAGTGCCCCCTTGCTCTCTGCGCCTACTTCCACAGTCTTGGCTTCCTGTCCCCGTCCCAGGATTGTCCTCAACCTCATCCAAGAAAAGATGGCAGTGGTGATGCTAATTCCCCACAGGGAAAGCTCCGCCCCTTCCCGCAGGGGCATGGTCTTACCCCCTGGTGTCCATCAAGACAGGTTAAATAAGAACACAGCAGTTTGGATTTAGTACATCCATTAAGAATGACCAAGGGCTTGTCCTCAACCAGGGTACCACACTGTAGGAGCTCTAATGTGCAAGGATTTTAAAAAAAAATGACAACATTATTTTGAATGCTGCTAACAGGACTACAAGGTAGGTGTCATTAACCTCACATGTTACAGATGAGGAAACCGAGGTCCAAAGAGGATAAGTAACAGTCACTCAAGTGGAAAGAAGTGCAGTAAGAATTTGAACTCAACTCTTTCTGCTCCTAAAGCCTCTGTTCTTTTCGCATGGCTAAGGGCAATGCCAGATGTGATTTGAAATAGCCATTGTCTGTCTCTCCTGGTTATCTGCCAGTTGCTCCACTGTCTGAGTCCTTTTGCTGTGGACTCTACAATAACACGATTCTCTTTCTAGCAATATCTATCTTACCCTCCCTGGTAAGGGTCAGAAGCCTCCTTCTCTTCTCTCCACTTTCACCTCCAATCTTCTTAATTCTCTTCCTCTCTCCTCTCCCGTGCCCTCCTTCATCTCCTAAATTTAGAGCAACATTGTGTTTTCCTAACAATTGCAAACTTTCCTTATGAGAAGTGACTGGCAGTGTGATTAGGGGTGGGTCCTTTGTCTTTTCCTAAGAGCACTTTTGCTTTCCAAGGGGACCAATGTGGGTGTGACTGAGCCCAGATTTCTGGTACAGTCTCATTTCTTTTAAAAATGTCAGAGTTCAAGGGCTGTGTCCATATAAATCCTGAAACTACGAGCACAAGTTTCAGGTCCTTGGAGAAGAAAAGTTGCCTAATTGGGTGGCCAGCTTCCAAAATTTCCCTTGGTAATCCTTCCTCATGACTGTTCCTCTTTTACCAAATAGTTTCCAGAAGAGTTTAGAAATTGCCTTCCAAGGTGTCAGAGCACCTACCACAAAACACACTCTATTAGCAAAACTATCTGAAACAAATTGTTACTGGAAGCAGTGAGTGTAGGGCTTGTATCCAAACGTTCGGAATGTGCTTACTAATGGTGGCCCTTTAAAGCAGTGCAGGAACATAATAGCTTTATACATCTTTCAGAGTTTTTTTTTTTTAATCAACTCAAGGACTCCTTGTACAAGCAAAATGAAGCAAAGAACTGAAAAAAAAAAAAGTCTAGATAATGTAGGTTAAAAAACTTACTAGGGAAATAGGAAAGGAAAACAGCCTCGCCTAGACCAGCTCTCAATATAGATCAAATTCCAAGATGATAGCTCCGATTTCCCTATCCTGTTAAATTGAGCAAATCGCTTAACACTTCTGTGTCCTCCATAACTTCTTCCTTCACTCTGCCTGTACAGACATCATTTACAACTCAGTGGTTCTTGACAAATTTTTTGAAGAGGAAGCTCCCATTTCCTCCCAGGGTTTGCAAGCCCTGCTCCAGTTTTCTTCCTTTGACATCCTGGGAAATAGATGGAGGAGAGAGTGTTTCCATCTTCGTTTCCAGAGTAGTCACACTGATTCTGGCCCCCTGTCAACTTGGCTTATTCTGCTTCAAGTTGTGGCCTTGAAAGTTTCAGAAATGAGGAAGCAAGGAAGGTCATACCTAGAGCAAGTAAGGGAATTCAGTGGTTTGTAAGGATTATTATCATTGGTTCTCTGAGTATTACCTCTGGGCCAGTGGGTGACTTTTGGTTTTACACACAAGTATTTGTATATTCCTTGGACATAAAGAAACTAATCCATTTGCCCAGATACCCTCCAGTCAGACCTCTGGAGTTTTACATTTGCAGAGACAAGTCTTACTTGCAACAATGTATATCTTACAAGGAAAAACAAAATGCCTGGATTATAAAACACTCCCACCATAAAGGCAAGTAGAACCAAGCTTAAATGAAGCCAGCGGAAATGAAATTCTACCTCTAAAACCTGACCCCTAATTAGTTAAAGAGATCAACAAGGTTTCTGGATATAAGGTCAACTCACAAAAGATCAATAGCATTTCTCTACAGCAGCAAAATACAGCTCCAAATACATTCAGAATCAGATAAAAGTTATAAAATATAGAGTACTTAGCAAAGAATGTCTAAAACTTCACTATTTGTTAAAGGACTGAAAAAATTCTGATTATATGGAGAGACTGTTCATTCTCTTGGATGGGATGACGTAGTTTTATAAAAAAAAAGGTCAATTCTTGCCAAAATTAATCTAAAAATTGAATATAAATTTAATGCAATACCAATCAAAAGTCCAGCTAGATTGTTTTTTGATGAATGTAATAAAGTTATTTTTAAATGCATGTGGAGTGATGTCAGAGATGACAGGTTAGGAGGTACCAGACTTGGTTCTCCCTACAAAAACAATTTAATAATTATCCACCAATGAAATTGTTCTGGGAGAGCTCCAGCTTGTAATTAAGAAGCTGCAGCCACTCCATGGAGCTTAAAAATCAAAGATGACCACATAGAAAAGTGCAGAAAGCATTTTACCTGTTTCACTTCATCCTCCAATCTGACACAGCTTGGCACCAAGAGGAATTGCCTCAGAAATCCCCTACCACCTCCAGTGAAAAGGAAAGCGGGAGGACCTCAGGAACCCTTGACATCACCGGGGACACCGCTAGCTTTTGCCACTGAGGACCTCTGATGCTGAGTCCAGCTTAACAACGCTGCTCGAAGTCCATGCCTCTACACCACCTGGAGTAGAAGCACGCCTCCCCCTCACCATCGTCACCTTCACACATGCAGCAAGGATGCCCACTTTCGTCAATTCAATTCAAGGTACTATTGCAAGTCCTAGACAGAGCAATTAGACAAGAAAAATTAATTAAATGCATCCAAGTTGGAATGAGGTAAAATCATCTCTATTTGCAAATAACATGATATTATTTATGAAGTCTCCTAAAGACTCCACCAAAAAACTGTGAGAACTAATAAACATATTCAGTAAAGTTTCAGAATATAAAATCAACATACAAAAGTCAGCTGCATATCCACACATGAACATGAAATATTTGAGAAGAAAATTAAGAAAACAATTCCATCCACAAAAGCAATAAAAAGAACAAACTACTTAGGAATAAATTTTACCAATGAGGCGAAAGGCTTGTACATTGAAAACTGTAAAACATTGAAGGAAATTAAAGAAGACACAGATAAATGGAAAAACATCTTGTGTCCATAACTGGAAGAATTACGTTCAATCCAAGAGCACAAGGCATCTTTCCATTTCTTTGTAACAGCTTCATTTTCCTTCATCAATATTTTATAATTTTCAGAGTATAGGTAACTTCCTTGGTTGTTTATTTCTAGGTATTTTGTTCTTTTTGATGTAATGGAAATGTTTATGCCAGTTATAAAATTCTGGTTTTTGAAGTGGGAAAAAAAAGTGAATGAAGGGCTGCAAATGGCAAAATATCCTTCCTTCTTATGGGTGAGTTGTATTCCATTACACATATATGCTGCATCTTCTTTATATATTCATCTATTGATGTGCACTTATGATGCTACCATATCTTGGCAATTATAAATGATGTTGCTGTTAGTGGCGGGGTGTATGTATCTTTTTTAATTAACTATTTTTTTGTGGTTGGCTTTATTCCTTTGATAACTATGTAAGTTTAAAAAGCTAAAGCTCTAAATGTTCTTAAAAACAATGAACAGTGTATATACATAAGTTTAAAAAATATGTGCAGTATATTGTGTATATGTATTTATATGCAATACATTGTATATGTGCAGTGAAATTGTAACAATTCTACCTAATAAAACCGAAAAATGAAAAAAAAGAATTAATATTGTGAAAATGTCCGTACCACCCAGAATGATCTACAGATACAATGAAATTTATATCAAATTTTTAATGACCTTTTTTTCAGAAAAAAAAAAATGTAAAATTTACATGGAATCACAAAAGACCCCAAATAGTCAAACAATCTTGATCAAGAAGAACAAAGCTGGAGGCATCACATTTCCTGATTTCAAAATACACAATACAAAGCTACAGTAATCAAAAGAATATGGTAGTGACATAAAAACAGTCATAAAGACCAGTAGAAAACCTAGAAATAAATCCACACATCTACAGTCAACTGATCTTTGACAAGGGTGCCAAAAACACACAATGGGGAAAGGATAGTGTCCCACTGGTTGGGAATGATTTTGACTAATGATTCTCACATTTTGTTCCAAAGTATGATTGTTCTAAATTTGGGGGTTGAAAAGTGATAAAGGAAATGCCTGGACATAAAATTTTAATAATCTGCACTTGGAGCTAACTTGGCTAATTCTGAGTGATTGAGAATAATGAACCCTAAATACTATTTGACAATGATCATTTTTCCTAGTTTTACTGGCCTGGAAGGTGGATTTATTTTACTTTAAATATTATTGATTATAGATGTGTTATGGGATTGTCTAGAGCCTAAAGACTAAATGGGTTTTTAAAAAAAATGATTTTGAGTAGATGGAAGACATAATCAAATAGGCAATTTAGGGGGAGAAATCAACAAATACCAAAACTTTTAGTGGGCCAAGTACATATAGTGTCGCTTGGAAGGCAGCCTTTGATTTCTGTCCTATGTCATCCTTGTTAGCACCTGTCTCTGAGATATGCTGGGTGCCTGGGTGTTCTGACACTCAGACACTGTAATGGTTTCCAAGGAGATGTGATAACACACTGTCAAAGTTGCATGGGATTCAGGCTTCTTTAGTAAGCAATGCTGAGTCATCTCCTCCGTAAGCTGGGTTGATGCCTCAGTTTGGGGGGAAAAAAGACTTGTTATAACAAACTGAATTTATTTACAAATTGAGAAGGCTCTGTGTCTGGGCTATATCTGATTGAGGGCTGTCAGTATGTCAGAGGCCAGGTGTCCCTGTGCCTTCCCACCCGGGAGTGTTAGTGCCTAGAGAATGTTTCAAGTAGAGTTGTCCTTGTCACAGCTTTGGATTTTCTCAGCCCCTCTTCTTCCTCCAGCCCTGATGTGGTAACCACTTCCGGGCAGGCTTCAAGAAGCTTTGTGCAGGTTCCAACCGAAAGCACCTTCCCTGCGTCCTCCCATCCTTGCTATCTTCCCCAGAGCTTCTCTAGAAGTGTGGAGACCCATGGGACAGAAGTTAATGGGCAGTTGCTATCCCCTTTCATTTCCTGGGTGATTGTATTTTCCTTGGAATGTCCCACTGGATTGAGCATAATGGCAGCCAATTCAATATCCATCTTTCTATTGACTTCCCTCCTTCCCTGTTTTGCTTCTTTATGTCTCCCTCCTCCTCCCTGGGACCCCTTTCTAAGTCAGCCACCTGCACACAAGCATCTGTCAGGCTTTGCTCTGGGGAGAGACCAGGCTATGACAGGCCCCAGAATTGCCGTCTAAAATCAGCCTACTCATTTTTCCAGGTCCCTAAACTCAGTCAGATTTTCTCTCCTTCAGACTTAAAGTTCAGGGAAGGATTAGAATCATTCTGCTTTCTCACATATATTCAGACATTTGCATTTACACACAAAATTTCACTTTCTAGGTGAAAAGTGGGAAAAAAAGCAAGTCCTTGTTGTTTTTTAAACAAGAAAAGCTAATAAAACCAAATCAACTTTCTATTGAGTAAAAAACTTCCCTTTTACTTGAATTGATTATTGATTGATACTGATTAAAAACTACATTACTGCTTTACTTTCTGTGTTCCCCTTAAAATTTCTCTAGGTAAAACAAATTTTAGAAGATATTAACACCTCCAAGTATTGTCTGAGAAATTATAAGAGGCTCAATGCTAAAACACATTAAATGAGTTTTATTAGATACTCCTTCTGCTAAATTGGGCTGCCAACTGGATAAAGCATTATTTAGCCAAATATGACAAAGGCCTTGAATGCAAGATTTAAGGAAGATTATTTGACAGCAAACTACTAAAATTATAAAGAGAAATTTTGCATTTACAGAAAAATTCGCTTTCCTATAAATGGCACTCTGTTTTCAGAGCTTGATTACCTTATTGGGTGTTTCAAGTTAAGTTCTTGTTATTTTGTAACTTCAATACAATCTTCCACTAGAATCTTCGGCCTACCTGGCAGATGTCTGGACAGTTAAGTTGGCTCACCCACCTCATGAGTAAGGTGATAGAGCTGAGAGTAAGTGAACAGTAAAAATATTACTAAAACATTGGGATCTCAGGATTTAGAAGACTAAGTAGTGAGGAAGCAGTGATTTGTGGGCCAGGATGAGAAAGAGGATTGTGTTAAAGAGATCATGGCCCTATTTATTACCAAATTTCACTGCTGGTACATTTTGTCTGAAGACTTGCTGTCAATTACATTGCAAGGCACTAACTGGTCATGATACACATTTTAAGTGTGTAGCACTGTGCTAGGTCCTACAGAGACAGAAAGATAATAAATGTTCTCAGTCTTCAGAGAACTTGCAGGTAGGCTCAGAAAAAGTAATTAGGAAACGAGGTTAGAATCAAGGTCTAAACTACTTGGAGAGAGAGACTTCTCTATGAATTAACAGTGAGGATGCAGCAGGGCTGGGTAGAACTTGTCACCCAGGAAGACATTGCAGAAGACACATGCACTGAACCATGAAATGGCACATTTGGGGCTGCTAGGAAAGTAAAGGAGGTTATTCCAGGCAGTGAGAAGAGCATGAACAAAGATATGAAACATCATTCGTTCAGCCATTTGTACCTGCTTTGTGTGTAGTGTCCCACCAGGTGCTGGGACTACAGTGATAAGTAAGACACACTCAGCCCCCAGCCCTTGGAGCTTGAAGCCTTGGGGGATTCATGAGAGACCTTGGTCTGCAATGAGCCAAACTCCACGGGGATCACGTGGCTCTGAGGAGTCCCTTGAAAGACACAATAAAAGAGATGTTGATAATTTTATGAGAAAACTTTTAAAATAACTTTTTTTATTTCTGAAATCCAAAAGGTTTGTGTCAGTTGAGGAAAAAAGTTATCTTTTATCACAGCTTATATTTCAAACTCTGAAATATAGGTTTCTTTCTCCGAAGAGCTAAGACGTTTAACTAGCAGACAGCTGTCTCTTTGATCAATACATTCACATTATTTTTCTTTTCTTTCCAGAAAAATAAATGAGGACAACATTATATTTTGATATGCAAGGCTTCTCACTTATTGCTTTCCTCAGTAAGGCCCTCAACAGATGCTTATTTCGGGCTATTAATAAAAGCCCCTTTCAGTAAAAGCCTGGCTTTAGGCTTTAGATAAATAGCAGTTTGGGAGACTTTCAAACAAATTTAATGCTCTAATTCTCTCCGATTACTGTAATTTTTCAACCTGTCCTTTCAAATTGGAGATACAGTGAAATAATCGGATATAGAGTGATAAAGATTACTTTAAAATCTCATAGATTTTTTTTTATATTTTCTTTTTCTTATCATGTGTTGAACCAGACTTTGAACAAATACCTGGACATAATGGGATATCACTGGAAATAGCATCCAAACGCTACCTCTTCTCAGTGGAGGATTTAGTGGGACATCCACCAGCCTCCAAAAATGCCTGCATTGCTATTGCTCCATATTATCTATTCCAACGATAAGAGAGAAGCACAGAACTGACCTGGTGGTCGTCTTGTTGTGATGAATACGGTTTCTTTCTGAAGAGCAGAGAGAAGTAATTTGTGTGGATTGTGGCTTCTTGACTCCTGATTACATAACAGAAAAAGCCGTATGTGTGGAGAAGGAAATTGATTTAAAAGCAGTCAGTGGGCATAGCCAACATAAATTTGATGAATAAAATGAAAAGCGGCTCTGACGATGTCAAGGTACTTTTTTTTCAAATTGACAGCGCGAAGACCTTGGAGAAACTTCAATTTCATCTGCTCGGTGCAGACACCTGAGCCTTTGTCCTTTCATCAGTTAGCTTCATTCTCTGGCTCACAAACTAGAGACAGGTCATGCAAAGGAGTGAGAACTGTCCCTGAGTTCAGTTTAACCTTTACCAAAGGTCTACTCTATTCCAGGCACTCTGCTATAGCAGAAGACATAAATGCACCAGTTTATTCATTTGAAAATACTTACTGAGCATAGCTATACAGCTGGCCCTGGGGATGCAGTCACGAACAAGACAAAATCCCTTTGGAGTTGAGTCTAGCCAGGGGGCCCAACTACGAAAGTTTACAGACACATACATGATAGTTTCAGGCATGGTCCTCGTCCTTGAGAATCTGATAGCCAAATGGGGAAAGTCAACATGTATAGGAAGAGGAAAAAGCAGCTACAAATAGGGGTGGCCACAAGACCAAGAATCTATGGTCAGGTGCTGTTTCAAATGCACCGTCACTTAGAATTCTGTTTCCTTTGGTTTTTGGACTATCTACTTGCCACCCAGTGACATCTGATATATTCTTTATCCTAGAGGCATTTTACAGTCTCCTTTTATGATCTAAGTATAATTATATAATTCAAGTCAAGATTCTTACAATTTCCATACTTTGACGTTGAGCATTGGGTAGAAATATAGAGAACCAAGCAAAGTCTTTGTGTGAAGATGTCAAAGAGCCCCAGTCCCTGTAGAGATTTTTCTAGTGCTACCAGGTTGATGATATCTGCTCTAAGAGGCTAGAAACTCACAAAAGCAAAGACAAGATCACCTGATAAGATCTCTGAGTCCAAGTACATCAGAACCAGCTCCACATTTGTAGACTTGTTCTTTCCATCTGCCCAAATAAGGCCATCCTTGTTCTTAGCCAACCAACTCTGACTGTGTCCTCTCCACAAGAGAATTCACTTTTTTAAACACATATCATCCTTTGATCTGAGCCAGAGACCTCCCATTGCCTCCTCCCACAAGGTCATGTGCATCCTGAGTTCAGTAAAGCTTCCTCCTGGTCTGCAGCTCTGCCTGGTTCTCATTCTCTCTGATTTTCCCTGGAAAGTCAATGGAGCAGGAGATCCCAGTACATCCATCTCCAACTTCATTCGTTACTTCACAAAAAGGAAAAAAAAAGAAAGAAAGAAAACGAAAATTGAGGGATAGAAGAAGCTAAGTGTAAAAGGAAGCCTGCAAAAAAATCTACTAACACGATCCCAAAAGCACATCTTCTCTAATAAGTCAGTAAATAAAAAGGATGGTTTAGTTTACTCTGTCCCTTGTTGTCTCTCTTGGACACTCTCCCCATGATTTTCTGAAGAAATAATCAATTTATTAATTATGGCACCAACCGTGTTTTTATCATTCTTTAAGTCGACTTTCCTAAGAGAACTGCTTACTCAATCTTCACGAAGTGTCACTAATAGAGGAAAGACTGTGAGCAGAAGGCTGGTCCTGGCTGATTGCCCAGCATCAGTGCACTGTCCCAGCCCATCCCTCGCCAGGTGAGATGGCCAGGTGGAGGACGGTGGCATGGATAAGAGATAAGATTTGGCTTTTTTGGCGGTTGTTATTGTTATTGGGAAAATTGTCCATCATGAGAAAAACAGTGAAATATTTTGCAAGGTGCTCTTCTGAAAAAGAAAGCAGATTATTTTTAAGTGAGCAATCATGGACTGGTAACAAAATCAAACACAGAGTTTCAGTCTAGCCACGAGATGCTATGACAGAAATGCACCTGGAGCAGATCTTGTCTCCTCTGAGGGTTGGTGGGCAAATCCAAAATCTGTGCTTGTGATGCTGAGAATAAGCGTACAGGAGAAAGCAGCAGTCTTTTTAAGAAAGAAAGTATATTCAATAAAAATGTTTTTAATTAAAAAAAAGAGAAAGTATGAGGCTGGTTTAGCCTAGTGTAGTGACTAATGGCAATTTAAAACACTGTAAACATTTTGGACTTTTTAATTGATTCATATGGCATTTATTTTTTGATATCTATTCTGGGTTTGGGACTATGCTGGCAAACAGAGTGACGGACGAAACGTGCTCTGTCCACCTTCGCTTCCAATACATAAACTAGATTAAATGAAGGCATCATCTGCCTAGGTACAGCATCAGAACACAAGCCCCCCGGCCATCTGCGAAGAGCAGTGCTGAGGATGGCGGGCAGGACAGAGCCCTCTCTCCCTCCAAAGGGATAACCCCCTCCGCTTGCTCTTGTCTCAAAGATAGGGAGGTTCAGGCAGGTGCAGGGAGGGTTGAAGGGTTGATCCTCATCTTAAATAATTATGCCTGAACTGCATATGGTGGAAAAGCCACTGGGATATAGGAACTCAATGGAAAATTCGTTACAGATATTAACTAGCAGTAGCTAGGAGCTGAGCACTGCTGATGGCTATGTTGTAGACTATCAATATGACCCATGTGATAAAAGTTAACAAATCTCTCCAATTTTTAGTTTCCTTTCTTAAATGTTGCCTGTGATACTGAAAAAGTCACAAAAGCCTTGATATTAGAATGCATTTTATATATGAGGAGAAGGGACCTTGTTCCAATAAGGCCACTTGTGATTAGAAGAATCAAACCAAGACTCCTACGATATCCCTGGGTTCTGACCACCGAGGCCTGAGCATCAGTGAATTACTTGGAAATGCAACTGTATCTCCATCCTGCCTGAGCAGTGAGAATGTTTTACTGGTGGCCTGGGAATCTCTCGAGAAAATTTGTCATGAAGGCGTGAGAACCGTTCTGCCAAGGTGGAAATTAGATTTCAAGGGTGATGTTCAAGATTTTCATTTCATCCACTACTGCAGAGCGACAAAGCACAACATGAAATGGCAGGGAAACTATTTTCAGACCTTGTCATTTGCTTAGGCTACAGGAATATTTGCTGGTTGCAAATTTGACATAGTGGGGATTCATTTTTCTTTTAGAAACAAAAACCTCTTTTTGAGGACAAAATGCTGAGACTTTGGATGGAGAATAAACAGATTTTCCCACAGTTTTAGCTCTTTGGTTACACCAGCGAGGCACTGGTGAGACTCCCAAGGTGAATAAAATGTAATTTGCGGAAGCGCCAACCGTGGCATTTCGCGTAGTTCCTGATGTGATGCTGTCACTCCACCTTATTTATGTAGCACTCCTGTGTGTACAGCCCTCTGCTTGTGCTTTAAATACATTCATTCTTTCCTATAAGCCTCACAATAATCCTGCCAGAGAGGAGAGGTCACATGCCTGTGGCCACGGAGCTAGTAAGTAGGAGAGCTGGGATTGACACCAGGGGCCATGTGTCAACAAATCCCTTAATACCAGCGATTTTAAAATTTTGTCCTTCATCGGTGCCCTGGGGCACGGGAGGGTCTAATAGGGACAGGATCAAAGCTATTCATCTCTGCTTCTTGTGGACCATCTCTTGTCTTTATCTCATTTATATATGGTGGGTTTCCTCTGGTTTAGAACTCACAAAATTTACAGCATAACTCGATGCACCAAGAAAAAAAATGCAGTTTCTTTGTTGGTCTGTAGCTAATCGTGTCACCATTAACAGGCTTCATCGGATGGCAAGCAGAGAAGAGAAATTTAAGTAAGTGTCCAGAGAGATTTAAGCTTAATTCAATTTTAACAATTGATTGCTTTTTCAAAAAGGCAGTGCAGTGTTTCAGAGAGCCACCTCACCCCTCTACCCTTTCCATCCTCAGAAGGCTTCTGGGAGTGTCCAGGTAGAGATGTGACCTTCCTGTCCACATCCGGTGCCATGCTCCTGGCTGCCTCGGGGGCCGAGCACCCAGATGCTTCCCAGTGCTGAAGTCTATTCTTACAGCACCAGTGCTCTCCTGGCAAAGCTCCCTGGGCTGGAACGGACTCCTTCTCACATTACAGATCTTCCGAGGTCTGGCCACGACTCTCATTTGTTACAAGTCCAAGCAGCCAGCTCTGCAGTCTTTATTAACTGGGAGACACCTCATCCCCAGAAAGAGGACCCCCTCTGGCTAAACAAGCTGCTTCTACCAAGTTAGACAATAAGAATTTCCCTGCTGGTCTGAACAAATCTATTCTCGAAAAGATGAGAGCTGGAGATCGAGTTACACATAAAATAGGAATGCCCCCTTAGCCTCCCTCAATGGGCCAGTGTTTTAACTGTATTCATTCATAGTTGACACGAATCAAGAATTGCAGAATGTTAGTCCTGGAAATGCCTTAAAGGCCATCCACACTCCTCCTGCCCATCTGAGCAAGATGAAGAACCTGCGGCTCAGAGATGAAATGGTTGTTGGCGGTCACTCCTTATTTATGGGGTTTAAGCCCCCCATACCACCCGCCCATCCATCAGAAACCGCACCAGCCAAAGGGGCTGCGTCCGGCCCTACATGCCTGGGCATGGCACGTACGTGCACGTCACACTCATGACACTTTGACCAAGAACCTTCAGAGGGAGCAGCTGAAACTGCTTCGGCATGTGCCACTATCTGTGAGACCCTCTGAGCCCAAAGAGGTCAGCTGCGCTTCTCTTTAAGTGATCTGTCCTTCAGTGCCTTACGTATTTGGAAGGCATCTGAGAGACCAAGGCCAGGAAGGACGCGGAGGCGCACAATCCAGCTCAGGAAAATTTTTTCTCAGTTCTTTATCTCTACTCACCATAGCTTCAAGATAATGCCACCTTTGGGGAGCAGGATGGGAGATTCTCAGCAAGAAAATATATTCTGTAATGAGAAGCACAAAAAAGCCCTCCATGAATACTAATGTGCTGCCTAACTATCGTATCTTTGATTTCCCACTCAGTGAATTATCCGAAATAAAACGTAAAAACAATTATACTGGGGAATGAGAGACCATGGCTATGAGGGGAGGGCCAATTTTAAAATGGCATAAAATAGCTATAAAGAATAGGACCACATTCTAGAAAAAAATGCCTTTTTCCCTGCAGTGCAGACTACTGATCCTAGGCTCCTACAGAAACAGAGCCTGAGGCAAAAGTTTATGAGCTGTGGCTCCTGCAAGAGGGTAAGCCCTGGGGGAGCAGGAGAGGAAGGCAGGGCCCAGTGGGTAGAATGGGGCACTTTGGGAAGTTTGTGTGATTCTGTTTTATTCTCCAGATGCACACGCTTGCCTGATTTTCAGAACCATGTGGTTCTTCAGTGGCTTGTGTTGGTTGCTTCCAAGTCCTCAAAATCAAGAGGGGTCTCTAATTCCAGGCCTCTCCCTGGTCAGAATCCACCCCTCCTGGCATCAGCAACTCCTCATTTTCCTGGGTTGTCTCTGTGAACAAAAAATACTGCAAGCCATATCAATAAACAAAGAATGCTGTGGCCATCAAGTCATCAGCCGCTACCACCACCCCTGACAATGAGTGGAGGGAACTTAGCATGCAGACAAGCAGGCAGCCTGGCCCGGCCTCTGCCACCACCCCTAGCAGTGAACCCTGAGGGAACTCAGGATGTGAAAGAACCGGCTACTGGCCCTAGATAGCGAGGGGCATATCAAAGGAGTGATTTCAGTGAGCTCAGACTTCTGCACCTTCCCATGCATAGAAAAGAGTTAATTCCTTAACTTAAGATGCCTGGTTTTCTTTAATTAACAGTAATCTTTTGATGTTCCAACTACCTGGTCTTTGTTGCAGAAATTCATATATCGTGGCTTCTGCCTTGCCACTTTGAAGCAGTCTCTCAGAGCAATCTGGGAGGCTATCACCCCAGGCTTAAGTCCTCAGAAATGTTCGCCAAATAAAACTTAATTCTCAACTTGTAGGTTGTGCATTTTATTTCAGTGGACAGGTCACCTGCTTTTCCAGGCAGCCACCGGAGAAGCTCTAACAGCAGCGACCTCTTCCAGTGATAAAACCCCCTGACCTACAGTGATTTGACTTAGATTTTTTCCCCTTTACCGTAGTGGGGGAGCAGTGCGCATTCAGTAGAATCTGCACTTTGCATTTTGATCTTTTTCCAGACCATGGCTCCCAGTCAGCCACACCATCACAAGGGGGACGCAACTGATACGCTTACAGCTATTGGTTTTCAGTTTTAGTACGTATTCCACAAATTACACGGGATAGTCAATGCTTCGTTATAAAATAGGCTTTGTGTTAGACGATTCTGCCCCACCGCAGGCGAATGTAAGTGTTCTGAGCACATGCATAGTAGGTGAGGCTTAACTATGCTGTTTGATAGCTTAGGTATATTAAGTGCATTCTTAACTGACAATATGTTCAACTTACAGTGGGTTTAGCATGATGCAACTCGTGGAGGAAAATCTGTAGAGGGGTGAGGGTCCCTCACTGGGGACTGTTAAGGGTTGAATTGTGTTGCCTTCAAATACTGAAGCCCTAATGGAGTAACTCAGAGTCTGACATTATTTGTAAAAATAAGGTTATTGTGGACGGGATTCATTCATGAGGCCAAGCTAGAGCAGGGGGTCCCTAATCCGATATGACTGGTGCCCTTACAAAAAGGGGACAATTGGACACAGACATGCATAGCGGGAAGACAGCATGAAGAGACACAATGAGAACACTGCCTGCAAGCCAAGGGACTAATGACTGAGGCTGGTGGGAGCAGATTCCACCTCTCAGCCCTCCAACCCTGCCGACACTTCAGTCTCACACTTCTAACCTCCAGAGCTGAGACAATGCACTTCTGCTGTGGAAGCCACACAGTTTGTGGTCCTTTGTTACTTTGTTAGGAAATTATTACAGGGAACTTCTTTCCTGCTCCTGCCGGATAACATTCCTCCCCCAGCCTTCCTTCAATCTTCCCCCTTTTAAAACTGTACTGTCCCCCAAGGAGCTTCCTTTGTACTGGACCAAGGCCTTGCCTAGATGTCTCCCAGCGGCATCTAATTTTAAGTCTACATGATTGTGGGATGTAAGGTCTTGCCCCTGTTTGCAGAAGCAATAATCACGGACGTCAAAAGCACAGGTTTGGCAGTGTTTAATCCCTCACTCATTGTACCACTCCAAGAAAGTTAAAGAACTGGGAGCTTCTGGTCAGTTCAATGGGGCACTACTGTTCCTCACTTTGTAGGATTAAGTGAGATTGTAAAAGTAAAGCACTTAGCACAATTCCTGACACATAAACACCCCAGTTCAGGGGAGCTATTAATAATAGTAGCTATTAGGGGAGCTTCAGGCATCAAGTAGCAGGGTGGGGGAGTGAAGTCTTTTGAGCTCTCTGAAATTAGACTAGACAGTTGCCTACTCGGTTATGTAACTGGAGTCACATGTCTAGTCTCCATGAAGCCAAATACCCACATGAACACTGTATGCTCCAGAGAGTAGTAAGAAAATACAAGATTTTAACTTTGAAATGGAAGGGTTTGATAAGCCACAAGATATAGTGATACTCAAGAACCAGGAAGTATGCCTGTATTTTCCAGAAGGGAGGGAAAAGTCAACAAATTCAGGTCAGGTATGTGAGAGTCCGTGATACCCAATGCAGAAGACACAGCCTTCCTTCTCATTACCCCAGTGACCGTGGACCAGTGTCTTAGTCTCTCTGAGCTTCAGGTTCCTTACCTGTAAGATGCCATGGAGGAGGACATGGTTTTTCACATACATTTTCTAGCCCGTCTGGGAGATGTTTATAATTCCCCACGGCAATAACATCAAACTTACCCCTATGACTTGCTTTGACTAACAAAAGGTGAGCGGACATGATAGCTACGCTCAGGTCTTTTCTCACCTCTGTTATCATGAAAAAAGGTGCTGGGATGGAGTCCCCGTTGGCCTGGTCCTGAGTGTCTATGATAACCTATTTGCACTGGTCGTATGGGATGGGTGTAGACCATAAGCAGTAAACTAACGATGCTGTTTTAAGACATTGAGGATTAGGGTGTTTGTTTCCTGGAGCACAGCTTAAGCAACCTGCAGATCTGAAGTCAGACATCCGCATCATGGGGCTTTGATGAAGAGCTTTGCAATTACAAATTGCCCTGCAATTATAGGACAGTACTTGAGAAAAGAAGAACTTTAATTTCCATCATGTATTCCCTACTCCCATCAAAAAAAATTAAGTGTGCTTAATAACTGAATGTTGGTGGAGTGGGGAGAAAAGAAAGATATGCTGTGGCTCCACCTTCTTTTTAATTTGTCCATTGAGCATTTGATTTTGGGGGGATGCACATGTACCTTCAAGAAGATACAGAAACTTAATAGCTGTCTTAGCTGCTGAAATAGCTTTATCATCTTTTACCATCATCTTGATTGTCGCCATTAACAGAGGATTTAGATCAAACCAAAGTCATCATTTACGAAGATGCCTACAGACCCAACCCCAGAGCTACTAGCTGCACTGATGTCCTTAGATGGAAGTTTCCTTTGCTTTGTCTTGAAGAGCATCCCAGGAAGCTAAACTGACCTAGGCTAGACTTCCTATGGGTGTTTTTGTCTAGGCTCCAATAACCTTAGCCACGTTTTATGGTAGAGAATTGAGAGGTCTCAATGTTTCATTTTTATATGAATTGCAGCAGACTCAAAATTACTATCTGAATGAAATCTTGGCCTTGGTTGAATGTACTTTCTCAGCTCTCTTCAACCAGAACTGGAAATGGCCTTCTGTTCTGGCAGATGTTCTATTAGGATGCTTCAGGTTTCACAAGAGGGGACTGATCCTCTCTCCTGCCGAGTACCTGAAAACAGGTCCACTGATCAGGAGAGGTCGTCCTGCATGCGCTGTCAGGAAACCTTTCAAAAGCTCATGTAAGAGGGTTCCTCTGAAGAATTAATCTGGCAACCCCCTCTCTCTAGGTTCTGTGAAATTTAATCTTAACTTAAACCAGACAATCCACTAGAGTATGCTTTTGTATGCAACCAGCAGAACTGGTGTCAGAAGTAGCCTTGAGGAAAAACACTATGCTTTATATGAAGGCGATATTGATGAGTGTTTGATGTTCATTACAGTATACAGTGCCTTCTGCAGGAAAATAACACCGAGGATTTCTTCTCCTAGGAACAGAGGTGTATGTTTTTGTGTGTGCATGTGTGTGTGCATGTGTTTGTGTGTGTGCCTCTAAAAAAGGTTTAATGGGGGAGTATAATTTACTGGAAAGTGCATGAAATAGTCCAGTTTAGCAAATGAATAGTCTTGTGAAGCCCCGTTCAGGTCAGCATCACCCTGCTTCTTCCTTCCTACTCAGTCTTCTCTTTGTCCCCAGAACATAACTATTATCTTAACTCATTGTAATCACTTTCTTGCTTTCCTTTATAGTTTTAAACAAAGGTATGCATTTCACAATGTAAATTTATTTCTTAAATAACCTTTATCTTAAAGTGCAAGGTGGGTTCCCCTGATTCGTAGGTACTTCCTTGTCACTTTCTTATTTAGAGAAGTCTCAAGCACAAATAAATATGACTACTCTTCTTACTTCCTATAACTAGGTTGCCGGATACTACTAGGAAAGCATACACACACACACACACACGCACACACACAAAATCAAGTGGATTGGTGTCACTAACATTTCATATCTTTTCAACATCAACCAGGCTCCCAGTGTTGGTATATTATTTCTAACAATTCTAATATTCTATGTATTTCTAATCAGCTCTTCCTCTTTTCCCACAGTGACTACATCCCTCTGTAATCTCTCTAAACTGCTTGCTGTATTTCTCCCTGCTTAAATTTCAGTGTATAACTTCACTTCAAACGTTACAAGGAAAATAGAAGCCAGCACCCCTTGCCTGCAGAGAACAGTTACTACACTGCTTTGAA